TAGGGGTAGGGACTGGCTCAGGGGGGAGGAACGTCGACCTGGAAGAGACGATACGTTCATCGCCGATGGCTCGGTGATCTGCCCTCGTTCAAATCCGCACGGCCTCCTGAGCTTCCTACTCTTCGAGGGGTGCAGCAAAAAACGTCGGAGATCTACTGACCCGGGTCAATCCACACCCGGGCCAGGTCAGTCAGGCCCTACAAAATCCTGCAAGACCCTGCAGGACCCTGCAGGACCCTGCCACCAAACCCTGGTCAGTGCACCCGTGGCCCTGCAGGATCCTGCAAGATCTGGCGCTCTGACTGACCCCCGTTTGCATTGATCTCCGTCTCTTGTAGAGGCCTCCCAGATGGGGTCGGTGCAGATGGGGACAGAGGATGGCGCCGCATCGCCGATACCTCGGCGATGCATCGGCGATGCATCGGCGATGCATTGGCGATGCATCGGCGATGCATCGTCGACGTCGGCGATGCATCGGCGACGTCGACGTGAAGCAAATCGGGCTCCACATCGAGCCGCATCGGCGATGCATCGGCGACGCGGCGCGATCCGCCGACCCCATCTCCTCCGACCCCATCGAGGAGGCCCAATGTCTCTTGAACCCCGAAGAAAGGAAACGTGAATGTGCGCCGGGGCGGCACCGAAGGCGGGCTCGGGGTGCGAGGAGGCGCGGATCGAGCCGTGACGACGGGGGCCCTCGCTGAAGAGGCCCCCGAGAAATTCCGAGCACCCTAAAATCCATGTCCTCCTCCCACCTCCTCCCCCCCCGCCCCCCCCCCCCCCAATCCCCCCCTCCTCCCTCCCAATTCCCTTCGCCCCCTTCCCCCCAATCCTACCTCCTCCCAATCCCCTCCCCCCCTGCCCTCCCATCCCCCCTCCCTCCCCCCAATCCCCGCCGCTGTGCTCCTCCCGCCCCTCCCTCCCGCCCCCCCCAATCCCCCCTCCCACCCCCCCACCCAATCACCCCCCTCACACCCCCCACCCACCCTCCCCAGCGCAGAGGCGGTGCAGGCCCCCAGGGATCCAGAGATGCTGAGTATGTTCTGGAGGCCCAAAGGATTCCCATTAGATTCGGGCCGCTGCTGTTTGGGAAGCGCTTCTCAGAAGTAGGCACGTGCAGGAGATGATTCGGCGTAAGGGGTAAGGTTGAAGTTTTCCCTGGGCCTGGACACGGGCAACTCGTGCCCGCGTTTTGTGCCTCGTGCAGTGGACCAGCTTACGGGCGAACCTTGGGGTCAGCATCCCAGGCGCTTCGCATCGTACCTCAGGACTAGCATCTGGGCCTTCTACCCTTTGATCGGTGGACGAACCATGCCCCAATGGAGCGCTTCTTTCTTTCCTTCCTCCCCCCCTCCTCTTTCTGCCTGCCCCACTCCTCCTCCCCCTCGACAATTACTCAATATGAAAATACTCTCCCTCTTCCCCTGATGGCTTCCGGGTGATGGCCGCGCATTCTCCGCGTACTGTTTTTTTACACACAGGATGCCCGGGAAATCCAGGGAAACGACTCTCGCTGAGGCGCCGGCGTCATTTTCGGGCCGAACGCCCCCCGCGTACTGTTTTTTTTACACACAGGATTCCCGGGAAACGGGTTTTCGCCTGCGTTTTTTTGTTTAATGATGCTCTCGCTGAGGCGCCGGCCTCACTTCTGCTCCCGAATCGTTCCGAATCGTGCTCCCGCTGCAGCGTGGGCCTCATTTTCGGATCGGTGTTTGGCCTCCGTCGTTCAGGATGGCGTTCTCGCCCCAGCGCGGGCCTCTTTCTCGCGCGCCCATCCGCCCGCCACCACCGCGCCGCACCACCACCACCACCACCACCACCACCACCACCACCACCACCACCACCACCACCACCACCACCACCACCACCACCACCACCACCACCACCACCACCACCACCACCACCACCACCACCACCACCACCACCACCACCACAACCACCACCAGCACCAGCACCACCACCAGCACGAGCACGAGCACGAGCACCAGCACCAGCACCAGCACCAGCACCAGCACCACACCAGCACCCACGCACACACGCACGCACGCACGCACGCACGTGCACCACCACCCACTACGCACGCGCGCGCGGAGCCACAGGTCCGCTACGACACGCGTCCGCGGATAGAGAAAATCAGCGCCATGGTAAGGGATGGGAGGGAGGGGTAGGACGTCAGATATGACGCGAGCGCACCTAGCTTGCCTCCCCCCCCTCCCTCGGCGCCTCGCGTGCGCTCTGTGCCGGCGCGGGCGGGGGCTGCGTCGTCGCAGCCGCCTTCGCTGCAGCGCGCATTGTCACCTGGCCGCACGCTCGTCAGTCTCCACCTCCCTGGCACGACGAGGAGGAGGAGGAGGAGAAGGAGGAGGAGGAGGAGGAGGCAGGGCGGAGGGAGGAGGAGGAGGAGGCGGAGAGGGAGGAGGAGGAGGAGGAGGAGGCAGGGCGGAGGGAGGAGGAGGAGGAGGCGGAGAGGGAGGAGGAGGAGGTGGAGGGGGAGGAGGAGGAGGAGCAGGAGGAAGAGGAGAAGAGGAAGAGGAGGAGGTGGAGGAAGAGGAGGAAGAAGAAGAGGAGGGACATATAAAACGGAGGTAATAGGAGGCGACGCGGCTTCGGAAGGCTTTAGGGTGCCTGGGGGCTTCTTGGGAAAAGAGCCGACGAGACATGGAAAGGCCGTGGTGGCTTCTCGGGAGCAACAGAAAAGAAAGAGGGAAAACAGGAGGCCGGAGAGAGGGGGGCCCTCTGGATGTCATCGCTTCTACGGGCTGCTGAGCGAATGTGTTGGAGGCGTCGGTAGCACTGCCGCGTGACCTCAGGACGCCCGTGGGAACCGATCACGCAACCCCTATAGAGAATCCCACCAGCCCTCTGGGCGCAGGTGGTCTAACGAGATTCCTCTTCCCTCCTTGGAAAAAAAACCTCTTCCCCTACGGGGTGGGGTGTACCCCTGGCGGCGGCAGCGGCGGACAGCGGCGGCGGTGGCGGCGGCGCGGCGCCGGCGGCGGCGGCGGGCGGCGGTGGCGCCGGCGGAGGCGGCGGCGGCGGCGGCGGATTGGCCCCCTGGCGGCAGCGGCGATTTTGGCAGCGGGGGCAGCGGCGGCGGCGGCGGCGGCGGCGGCGGCGGGGGCGGCGCGGCGCGGTGGGGCGGCGGCGGCGGCGGAAGGCGACGGCGGCGGCGGTGGCGGCGCGGCGGCGGCGGCGGCGGCGGGCGGCGGCGGCGGCGGCGGCGGATTGGCCCCCATTCGCCCCCCATCCAAAGACGACTGCTGAATATGCTGCGGCTCCGGCCAGGCTCGGGTGCTACGTATGTGTTGGGAGGGCCGGTGGGAATGAGCGAGACGGCTTGCGGGCGGGGAGGGAGACTCTTGATCCCTCTCCCTACCCCCTCCCCTGGACTTTTTTGGGGGAGTTCCGCGAGGTGTCAGGGCGTCCAAAACGGACTCGGCGAGGAAGCCAAAATCATTTTTATTCAGGTTTTGGCTACAGTTTGGCCTCTTTGGGGGGGGCCTGAACGTTACACCATCTCCTCCTTTGATCGATGGCCTTCAAGATGACCCCAAGAGGCCTTCCAGGGCTCCCAAGAGGGCCCCAAGAGAGCCCCAAGAGGGCCCCAAGAGGGCCCCAAGACCCCTAAAAGAGCCCCCAAGAGAGCTCCAATACCCTCCCAAAGAGCCCCAGGAGAGCTCCAAGAGGCGATTTTGAGGGCTCCTGGGAAGGGGCCGAAATCGAGGACCCCCCATCTTTTGATCGATGCTCTCCTAGATTGCCCCAACAGGCCTTCCAGGGCACCAGCCGCAGCACCAGCAGAGGCAGCAACAACATCAGCAGCACCGCCACCAGCAGCGCACCCTCGTACCACCCCCTCGTACCACCCCCTCCTGATCCTCGTCCTCCTCCTCCCCTTTTTTACCTTTTCTCCTCCTCCAGCTCCTCACCACCACCACCGCTCTCCCCCCACCATTGCCCGGCTAGCCGGGCAGGCGAGAAAATAAAACCGGGATCACACCCTTTGGATCCCTCCACCTCCTCCTCCTCCTCTTCCCCTCGCCCCCACGCGGTCCCCAGGGATGGCCTCTTCGCGAACCGGAAATATTGGTTGTCCCTTCCCCCTCCGAATAGGGCGCCGCGACCCCCCCCCGCGGCATTTCTGAATCGCTCGGTCGCATGTTTACCTCTGGGACCCACGTCCTTCCCCTGGACACACCGCGATTTCGGAATTGGAGCACTTGCCATCGCTCGGACGCCCATTCCCCGTGTATGCTTCGGCCCCGTTCTTATGTTCTTGGAGGGTCGTCGCCGAAGAAAATGCACACGGCTGAGCGATGCCGAAAGCATGCGGTCCTGTGTAGGAGCTCATGGGCCGAGCGCTGTCTCGCCAGCTGCAGCCCTCCTCGCCTGGGTACCTTCTCGTCCATCGTCACAGGAGATTCCCTACAAAATTTGCGCGGTGCCCTGGTCCAGCCGCCCACATTCGTGTACCGAACGCCTATTGATCATGCGTTGCTGATGACAATTGCCGAGGGTACACTGCCTTTCCTGATAAAAAGGCACCTTCTAGAATCTCACGCTTGTCGCTGGCGCCGTCCACCGGCACCTCAAACGGTGGTGGCCCTGGAGCGCTCGTCGCGCACGTTCGCCATTCTCGCTGCCTCCGCGGCCCACGCGCGTGCTCGACTCTGGCGGAGTGGTGGACGGATCGCACTTCACGTCTGCCCCAGTGCCGACATCCTCGAAGGACGAGAGATACTGTGGGACTGACACCGACGCCTTTGCCGACTCCTGCCTTCGGGCCCGTGGGCAACAACACAAATGCGGGGCGGCAGCGCCCGCGCGGGCGGCGGCCGTGCCGGGGTCGCCCCCTCTTCGCGCCGCCCTGCTACGCTGCGAGTGCGCGTGCGGCGCTGCCCTCCCCCAGCCACGTCAGCCCAGCATGCCCAGCCCCACCCTTGCCCAAAGCCCGGGGCAGGCTAGAATGTACTGTCGCGTGGCTGCGTGCGAGTTCCTGG